GCTATAGTTGGATCTAAAATCGACTGTAGTTGGATCTAAATCGACCCCGTTTCAAAGTCCCCCCCACCCCCACCCCCGTGACCTGAACCCAGCCTTCCAAGCCACCCCTCCGGACAGGAATGACCCCTGCGTATGGGATACCTTTTGGAGGTGCAGAAGGGTTGCTGAAAAGACCCCCACCTTCACCCCACCCCACCCTGCGCTTAGCTTCAGAGCATCCATTGATGCTATCCCTGGACTGATGGGGGGGGGGCGTGAGGACACCTCCTTTCATCTCCATTTGGTGAGAGAGAGGAGGGGGGCTTCCTTTACTTCCCCTGCAGGCTGCCCCTCTCCCCCCCTGAATTCCTAGCCATAAGTCCTTTCTCACGATCTCGGGGATATTTTTTCCTTAGCTAGCAAGGAGCAAGCCTCATCCCTTCATTCCTGTGACATTCACACACACACACATATTTTTGTGCCTTTTTTTCTTCTTTTGGACCCAACCCCCTGGTTCCTTCAAAGCTTCAAAGAGTCATGCACCCACCCCCCTCATCGCCCTCGCTACCCCACCCCACCGCACTCCGGAAAGCCTCCATTCGCCTCCATCTCCTCCTGCTGCATCTGGGGGTGGAGGTGCTTGACTCATATACATATATACAGGGTTGTGTATTGTATATTTGCTTTCCCCCAGAATGCCCGTGGACTTCCCTCTGTGGCGTGGCGGCTCCCTCTGTGGCAGCTCCCTCTGTGGCGTGGCAGGTTGAGGGGACCTCTTCCCCACCCGTTTAGCTGATGAAGGAATGGATAGGATGAGAAGGAGGGAGGGAGGGAGGAAAGAAAAGAAGATTGGTAGGAGGGAAGGAAAGGAAAGGAAGATAAAGGAAGGGGAAGGGAGGGAGCAAGGAGAGGAGAGGAGGAAAGGAAGATGAAGGAAAGGGAAAAAAGATAGAGGAAAGGAAAGGAAGATAGAAGAAAGAAGAGGAATATAGAAGAAGAACAGGAAAGGAGAAAGGAAAAGATAGGGAAGGGAAAGGAAGGAAGGGGAAGGGGGAGGGAGGGAGCAAGGAAAGGAGAGGAGAGGAGGAAAGGAAGATAGAGGAAAAGAAAGGAAGATAGAAGAAGGAAAGGAAGATAGAGGAAAGGAAAGAAAATAGAAGAAGAAAAGGGAAGGAGAAAGAAAAGGGGAGGGGAGGAGAGGAGAGGAGTGGAATGGTAGGACATAGCTGCCTCCCCATAACCAGCTGGCCCCACCCGATAGTCTGGGATGGTCGGTGGGGCCCGCCGCAGATTTCATCCGCCAGCCCGCTTCACCCCCTATTTCCCCTCTCCTCTCCTCCTTCCCCCCCACCCTCATTTTCTCTCCTTGGTTTGGACTCCTTGGCTTCTCCCTGGCTTGATTTTATTTTTTCTCCCCCTCCCCGCCAGCCTAACCACTCCGGGCTCCAGGGCCTCTACCGCCTCCGCTTCCGCCGCCGTGAGCTCCGCGCGCCCGCGCCAGCACCAGAAATCCATGTCCGCCTCGGTGCACCCCTCCAAGCCCACGCTGCCCCCCACCGACAATCACTGCGAGGCCCAGCGACCTAGGCAAGTGGGCAGCTGCGTGCGCCTGGGGGTGTTTCCTTCCTTCCTTCCTTCCTTCCTTCCCTCCCTCCAGGTCTCTCCAGCTGCCCCCCCTTGGCTTCATTGTTCTGTGTCCCGTCCTGGCCCCAGAGCCGTGACCCTCGCACGGGGGGCTGCCTTAGAGGAGATCGGGGCAGAACAACTGAGAGGTTTGGGGGTTCTGTCCTGAAACCTGGGAGGGGGGACCCCCCAGACGGAGTCATGCTCTGGGTACCACACAGCATCAGGCAGAGTCACAAGGGCGCCCAGGATGTTGCTCGTCCTGTTGGGTGGGTCCCCCCTATTTTTTTAGGGGACCTTAGCAGCTGTGGAAGGCAGCCCTCGTTCTTCTATGGGGCAGGCGCAGAAAAAGGAAACCCCCGGCTGCCCCACAAAAGAACGAGGGCGGCCTTCCACCTCTGCCCAGATGCTCCTTCCTACCAACTAGCAGAACTTGGAAAAACTGGCCCTGGATTCTCACGTCGCTTTAAGCCAGGAATCTTGCCTCGTGGAGGAAATCCATCAGGAATGAGATGTGGGTGCTCTTTTTTTCTAAGAGCATCAAAGATCATTTGGCCTAAAGGCTGGAAGGTGGGGGGGGGGGGGGACATGGTATCACGGCATCCTTCCTCAAATGCCCTCAAACGCTTCAGAGCCCTGGTTTCCGATTTGGCTTACGATCCTGGCTTGTTTGGGACCCCCATCGGCCAGGACGAGGTCGCTGATTCCCTACTGGGTTTCCCTTCCCCTCTCCATGCCGGGGACGAAGGGAATCAGTTTTATAGGGAGTCCTCTACTTGTGAAGACGAGTGGGACCAGAACGTCTTCCGTCACTAACAGCAATGCAGTCGTTAAGGCACCTGACCGCTCCTGATTTCACAATCTTTTTGGCCTCAGTCGTTAAGTGAATCTAGCTTCCCCACCATCACTATCGAAGCCTCCTCCATCTTCACCCTTGGGGGAGAGCCCCTTGAGATACCACCTAAAATGGCCTCCCAACCTTACCCAACGGATCTGCTATCTGCTCGTCCCTCCCCAGGAATCCCAAACCAGCATTCATGGGTAGAACGTGGCTTCTCTCTCTCTCTTTCCCTTCGCTGACCTCCCCCCCCCCAAGGCAGCGGGGTGGAGGGTCTCTCGGTCTGGCCTCCCCTGATTGACCTCCTTCTTCTCCTTCCCCCCCACAGCACGGCCCCCCAGCGGGCTCCCGTGGCCTCCCCTTCCGCCCACAACATCAGCAGCGCCCTCCCCGAGCGCACCAACTTCCCGCGAGGCATACAGAGCCGCAGCACTTTCCATGCCGGGCAGCTCCGGCCGGTCCGTGACCAACCAAACCTCTCCTACGGCCTGACACCCGCCTCGCCTTCCGGCAACAGCCAAGGCCGAAGAGGAGCTTCGGGCAGCCTCTTCAGCAAGTTCACCTCCAAGTTCGTACGCAGGTGAGCCAGGGAGGGGAGGGGGAGGCACCAAAGTGTGTGTGGGGGGGACCCCCAGTGCATCCTGGGTGGCGTGACTGCATGGCGGGGGGGAGGCGGAGTGAGACAAGGACCCTCCCCTCTTCCATTTCTGTGGCTCCGAGAGGCGCATGTTGGCTGAGTCTTTGTGTGCGTTGGACCCCCGCTGCCCCTCCCTCTCCCTCCTCCCTTCCTGTCACAGCCCCCACATTCCATTGTCTGCCATCTGGTGCAGTGGTTAGAGTGCAGTACTTGCAGGCTACTTCTGCTGACTGCCAGCTGCCTGCAATTTGGCAGTTCGAATCTCCCCAGGCTCAAGGTTGACTCAGCCTTCCGTCCTTCCAAGGCCGGTACAATGAGGACCCAGATTGTTGGGGGGCAAGAGGCTGACTCTTAAACACTTAGAGAGGGCTGCGAAGCAGTATAGAACTCTACATACCTCTATATACCGCTGCTATTGCTATGGTTATCTGTCCATGCTCGAATCGCACACTCTCCAGGAATCCAAGCTGCCGTCGGCTCTTTCCATTCATTGGGGAGACGAGCCCACCCAGCTTTCAAATGCTCCCCCCTCCCCAGGGCTCCACAGGGTGGGAGCACAACCTGTCCTTGATGAAGCCTAGAAGTCTGCCCCCCCCCCAGCCCCCCAAAAGGGGAGACTATCTTTGGGGTAGCTCAGCTGGGGAGTGACAAGCTATCATTCAGGATGGCTTAGCCATAATTGTCACTGCAAAACCCGGGATGGGGTGGGCGGAGATGGCTCCTGATAACAGCACCCTGTAAGTAAGAATAACGAGAGTTGGAAGGGACCTTGGAGGTCTTCTAGTCCATCCCCCCCCTCCCCCCCCAGCTTATACCGTTTCAGACAAATGGTTGTTCCAACGCCTTTGGTTCTGGCGAATTGCAATTCGGAATCCCCACTTCCCCTCCACCCCAGAACCTGCCATTCCCTGATCTCAGCCGTGCAGCGAAATTGTCCTCACCCCGTAAAGTTTCCGGGTGGGGGTACCCCAGCCATAGCTGCCCACATGCCACTTTAGCCAAGGTAGCCCCAGGGTTTCTCAACCTTGGGCGTTTTTTTAAGATGGGCGGACTTCAGCTCCCAGAATTCCCCTGCCAGCCTGTGTGTGTGTGTGTGTGTGTGTGTGTGTGTGTGTGTATCCGAGAGGCTGTTTTGTAAACCTTCCTTCTTCTTCGCAAGGCCCCAAGGGGAGGGGAGGTAGTTTGAGAATGGGAGGGGGGAGGGGGACCCACCTCTCTGCAGTCCAGCACCTCTTGTCTCCAGCCTCCTTTTTCTTTTGCTGTATGTTTTACCTTCCTCCCTGCCTGCCCTCCTTCCCAACCCACCCCATCCTTCTGTGGGTCCTACTCTGGGCAGCCTCCAGCCAGAAGGGGATATGGGGTGGGAAGGAGGAGGGGTGACCCCAGCAACCCCGGGTTCCTCACTCCTCCTCGCCTTCCAAAAGAAGTCACCAAGGCTTTTGGGGAGCCCCCCACCTCATCCTCCCGGACAGTCCCAATTTGGGACACAGGGAGGCCGCTCGTCTTCCTGTGTTGGACAGAAGGAACGAAAAATGGGGGGGAGGGGAAGTGTTCGCGTCAGCCTCCCTTTCCTCAAAGACACCCCCCTCCCCAGCCCAATCTGGGGAGGGAAGATGGGGGCACTGGCCTATTCCGGGATCCACGGCTTGTTCATTTCACACTTTCACGCTTGCTCATCCACCCACCACCGTGTTTTTTTCCTCCCCCCTCCCTTTTTTTTACCCCCTCCCCTTCTAGAAATCTGTCTTTCAGGTTTGCCAGAAGGTAGGCGTTTGTCACTCTGGAATTTGTTCTTTTTCCTTCTTCCTCTTGTGCAACACTCACCTCTTCCCTGCCAGCTTCTCTCGCTCTCTCTTTCTCGCTCTCTGTTTCTCTCTCTCTCTCCCTCCCCACAACCCATGGTGGCCAAGGGTGGCTGTGTGTGAACGCAGAGGGCACCCTTAAAGGGACAGTTTGGGGGGGGGGGAAGGGCTCATTAGCTCTCAGCCTGCAGACAGGGAAGCCCACTTTGATGTGGGAGAGGCTGTTTCTATTCTGTCCCATCTGGGTCGCCAGAAAACTGGTTGGCCTGGGATTTAGCGTCCGAGAATGCTGTCTCTTTAAAGGTGATTCTCCATCTTCGTAGTTTTTGCCTTGGCTGGGCCTCTGCTCTTTCTAACCAGAATCTCTCCCCCCCTCCCGCGCCCCTCCCCCTTCCTCCTTCCCCACACTAATCCTCCTCCCTGCATGGTGGCGGTTAGGAGAAGCTGGGCTGTCCCTCTGCTCTGCGGCTGGACGCTGCCTTGAAGGTTCAGGCTTAGCTTGCGGGAGGTGGCAAACGGGCACCCGGCCCATCCGCGGAACTTCATAGCCCTCCCTGGGGGATGAAAACGGGGGCCTTGGGGGGGGGTTACACCCCAATGGGAAGATGTTATCCGTGGTGTGGGTTGCAGTGATCTCTTTTCAAGGAAAAAAAAAATACAGTGAGATCAGTTGCCAAGGTTGGAGATCCCTGGCCTAGTGGTTAAGGTGCTGGGCTAGGAACCAGGCGCCTGAGAGTTCTAGTCCTGCCTTAGACGTGGAGAACCAGCCAGGTGACTTTGGGCCAGTCCCTCTCTCACTCTCTCAGCCCTACCCACCTTGTTGTTGTGGGGAAAATAGGAGGAGGAAGGATTAGGTTCGTTTACCACCTTGAATAAAATAAAGCAATAGGAAAGCTGGGATTAAAATAAAGAGAGAAATCTAGCTTTTGGGCTGTATAGGTTAGTCCTCGTCGCACAACCACAATCGAGCCCAAAGTTTCTGTTGCTAAGTGAGACATTCGTTCAGTTGAGTTTCGCCCCGTTTTGCAACCTTGCTTGCCACAAGTTGTTCAGTGAATCACCGCAGTTGTTAAGTGAGTCACACAGTTGCGAAGTGACTCAGTGGCTTCCCCCATTGACTTCGCTTGTCAAAAGGTCGCACAAGCGGATCATATGACACCCCCACCCCGGGGGACATCTGTAACTGTCATAAACATGAGTCAGCTGTCAAGCGTCTGAATTTTGCTCATGGGATGCTGCCACGGTCGTAAGTTTGAAAAAGTTACTTTCTTCAGTGCCGTTGTAACTTCGAACGGTCACTTAAACGAACCGTCCATAAGTGGGGAACTGCCTGGTGTGTAGCAAGCTAGGTCTCATGCGGTAGTTCCCATATGTTTCCTCTCTCCGATCAGGAGGAAATGGTGCTGTCACTTTTCAGCCGTCACTTCCACAGAGTCGCGTGTGAGCTGCGAGATGCCAGACTTAAATAAATGGAATCAAGCCAGCTTCAGCCACTTGGATTAAGTCCAGTTTAAGCGGAAAATAAGCAGAATTAGGTGTTGTTGTTTTTTCCAAGCACCCAGCCTTTGCTTCAGCAATACCTGCTTCCTGACAGCCCTTTGCACAGAAAGAAAGAAAGAAAGAAAAGAAAGAAAGAAGGAAGGAAGGAAGGAAGGAAGGAAGGAAGGAAGGAAGGAAGGAAGGAAGGAAGGAAGGAAGGAAGGAAGGAAGGAAGGAGGGAGGGAGGAGAGAGAAAGAAAGAAGGAAGGAAGGAAGGAAAAAAGAAAGTAAGAAAGAAAGGGGAGGGAAGAAGGAAGGAAGGAAAGGGAGGGAGGAGTGGACAGAGAGAGAGAAAAAAGGGAAGAAGGAAGGAGAGAGGAGTGGAGAGAAAGAACGAAAAAAAGAAAAGGGAGGGAGGAAGGAGTGGAGAGAGAAAGAAAGAGAAGAAAGAGAAAAAGAAAAGGGAGGAAGAAGGAGGGAAGGAAAGGAGTGGAGAGAAAGAAAAGATTGAAGAAGGAAGGAAGGAAAGAGGAGTGAAGAGAGAAAGAAAAGAAAAGGGAGGGAAGAAGGAAGGAAGGAAAGAGAGGAGTGGAGAGAGAGAGAAAGAAAAAGAAAAAAGAAGGAAGAAGGAAGGAAAGAGGGAGGGAAGAGTGGAGAGAGAAAGAAAGAAATTACCTTTTTTATTCAACCTTCAGCATCTCAACCTTGTTACAGCAACAGTGTTGACCTTCAAAATTGACCCAGAGACATTCTCTTGGGGGGGGGGCACAGTGCTGGGGCAAAACAGAGGGTATGTATGTGCGAATGTATGTAATTCCCCCCCTCCCCAAAAACAGAGGGGAGGTATTACAAGATAGCCCTCCCCCCTTCCTCAACCTGCAACTCTCTGCTGAGGGAAACTGGGCCGGCTGCGAGAAAACTGAAGTCATCCATTGTCTTGGCAGGTGGAGTCTCAAACTGTGAGCAGCCCCAGAAGTGCCCTTGCGGTGCCTCGCTTTCCCTTTTGCACAGGGGTGTGCGATGCTCGCGCACGAGAGCGCCTCCTGAAAGTGATCTGCAGGGCGAAAGGGCACCCTTTCAAGGGGGGGTGGGCACAGAAAAGAATTGGGAGCAGACCAGCACTTCCATCGTAGCTGCTTTTGCAAAAGGCAACTGGACTTTCTTGGGCTTTGAAAACATTTCGCTTCTCATCCAAGAAGCTTCTTCAGTTCTTCTTGGATGAGAAGCGAAAGATTTTTCAAGGAGAAGAGAGGAAGGAAGGAGTAACAAGGGACGTAAATGAAAGGAAGGAAGAAAAAGGAAGGAAAATGGAAAGAAGGAAAAGGAGGAGAAGAAAGGAGACAAAAGAGAAAGAAAGAAAGAAGAGTTAGAAAAGGAAGGAAGAAGGAAACAAGGAAGGAAGAGAAAGGAAGGAGAATGGAAAGAAGGAAAAGAAGAAAGAGAAGAAAGGAAACAAGAAAAAGAAAAGAGAAAGAAAGAAAGGGTTAGAAAAGGAAGGAAGAAGGAAACAAGGAAGGAAAAGGAAGGCGAATGGAAAGAAGGAAGAGAAAAAGGAAGAGAAAAAAGGAAACAAGAAAACAAAAGAGAAAGGGGTTAGAAAAGGAAGGTAGGAAGAAGGAAACAAGGAAGGAAGAGAAAGGAAGGAGAATGGAAAGAAGGAAAAGAAAAAGGAAGAGAAGAAAGGAAACGAGAAACAAGAGAAAGGGGTTAGAAAAGGAAGGAAGGTAGGAAGAAGGAAACAAGGAAGGAAGAGAAAGGAAGGAAAATGGAAAGAAGGAAAAGAAACAGGAAGAGAAGAAAGGAAAGAGAGAGAGAGAGAAATGAACGAGAAAGAGAGGCAGGAAGGAAGGCCTCTGAGTCATCCTGGGTTTGGGGGAGCGCTCCCCAAAACTGGCAGGGTTAGACCCAAAGCGAAAGGAGATGAAACTCATTTGACACGGTAGCTTCCCACAAATGCCGCCATTTCCCCACTTCTGTCATGCCCAAGAGAGACAATTCAGCCGCCGCAAAACTTTTCGAAGGAAAGGCTTGGGGGTTCTCTTGTCTCTTTTGAAGACCGCCCAGTTGGGGTTCATGGCAGACATAGCATCCAGACCAGGAGTCCCCTCATTCCGTGGCTCAGCCTGTTTTCCCCCACTCCAAGTAGCTCCTCCTTCTCCTCCTCCTTCCTCCTTTCTTCCTTGCTTGTCCGTGGCTTCTGCTCTGCGGGAATGGATTAGAGAAACGGTGCTTGCACCCAACCAAACAAACCCAAGGCTGATCCAGTAGCTTCACCCCCCACCCCCCAAAAGGCTGCCTTGGCTGATCCCAGCATGCCGAACAGCCACCGAGAGGGGCTGTCTGCTCTGCCTGGGGGGGGGGCACCATACTTTAGCCCCCCTCCCCACCCTCGAATGCCTTGAAGCCCTCCCCCCCTTCCCCATGGCTTGGGAGAAAAGAAAAGAAAAACCAGGGGCAGGAAGTGCTAACTGGAGGGTGCTGATGGCTTGTCTCCTGCTCTGTTTTTTGAGGAACCTGCATGAGCCCGAAAACAAAGACCGCGTGGAGACCCTCAGGTGAGACGCAGCCAGGGCTGGGCGGGGTTTCCCACCCTGGGTCCACTCGGTCTGTTTCTCCGACAGGGCCAGGCTGCTCCTTGGCACCTACCTCCATTCTTACACCTCTTCGTTGCCCTGACCTCTTTCTCTCTCTTTTTTTTTTTCCTCCTCCTCCTGCCTAGCACTGATGATATTACCTAGTCTGGTAATTAAATGTCTGCAAGAAAAGAACCACGCTTAGAAAACCCCAAGGAACCCCACAGTCCTCCTCCTCCTCCCACCTCTAGCACTGATGATGTTACCTTGTTTGGTAATAAAATGACTGCAAGAAAACAACCACACTTGGAGAGCACCAAGGACCTCACAGTCCTCCTCCTCCTCCTCCTCTTCCTCCTCCTCCACCACCACCACCTCCTCCTCCTCCTCCCAACTCTAGTTTAACACTGATGATGTTATCTAGTCTGGTAATTAAATGTCTGCAAGAAATCAACGACGCTCAGAGAACACCAAGGACCCCACAGTCCTCCGTCTCCTCTTCCTCCTCCTCCATCACCACCACCACCACTTCCTCTTCCTTCCACCTCTAGTTTAGCACTGATGATGTTACCTAGTCTGGTAATGAAATGTCGGCAAGAAAACAACCACGCTCAGAGAACACCGAGGACCCCACAGTTCTCCGTCTCCTCTACCTCTTCTAATTCTTTCTCTTTCCATCTCTCCCCCACCACCCCCAGCTCTTCTGGGTCACGGATCGGACTGAGCAGCACGCTGATGCCAGTCAGATGGGCGGGGGGGGGGGATTCCTCCTCTCTCCTCACCCTTTCTTCCCTTTCTCCTCCCCCCCTGGCAGGCCTCACATGATGGGTAGCGGCGGCGGGGGCGAGAAAGACCGGGACGAGAACCGGGACGCCAAGCCGCGGTCACTGCGTTTCACCTGGAGCATGAAGACCACCAGCTCCATGGAGCCCAACGAGATGATGAAAGAGATTCGGAAGGTGCTGGACGCGAACAGTTGCCAGTGCGAGTTGCAGGAGAAATACATGCTTTTGTGCATGCACGGGGCGCCGGGCCACGAAGCTTTCGTGCAGTGGGAGATGGAAGTTTGCAAACTGCCCCGCCTCTCGCTCAACGGCGTCCGCTTCAAGCGGATATCGGGCACTTCCATGGCCTTCAAGAACATTGCCTCCAAAATCGCCAACGAACTCAAGCTTTAACGGGGCCCAACCCCGGGGAGAAAGAGGGGGGTGGGAGGGGGGCGCCTGGCCTGCACACACGCGCGACCGGAGGTGGGAGTATCAGGAGGAAGAGAGCCGCGACTTCGCTTTTGAGAGGGGTTATGCAGGCAAAAGGGGGTGGGTAGGGCAAGAGGGAGGGAAGGTGGGGGGGTATACCCCCCCCACTCACATGCCTCTCCATCTCCCCGCGCCCCCCCCTCCCACTGATGGATCTCCATGGAGACAGGGTGCGTGGGATTGTGGTTGGCAGCCACCTAGCTGGTCTCCGTGGCAACAGGAACGGGAGGGTACCAAGGGCTGTCTGTCGGATGAGGAAGCATCCCTTTTGGTCTCCGTGGCGACCGTGGTACTTTTTCTTCCTCCTTTTTTTTTTTTCTTCTTCCTTCCTTCCTTCTCCCCCTCCCCCCTTTTTTTCCCCTCCTTTCCTTCTTGTACACGAGACAGGGTTTGCCATGCTACCAAACTGCAACAGAAAAGCAGGGACTCTTTCCCCCTCCCTGGTGAGCGGGGGGGGGGGGGCTTTCCCCCCCCCCGCCCCCCCCCGGGTTTGCAACCCGGGTCGGCGGAGGAGGATGGCAGCTGTGGCAGGAGGCGGTTGGGATGGTGAGGTGTGGGGGCAGAGCAGCAGCCGGGGGCCCCTTCACTGGGGAAACGGGGGAGCCGAGGGTCGCGTGCCCGCCAGCCAACAATGGAAGCCAAGTGCCTCCTTGCTGCCCTGCCAAGGGACACTTCCTGGTCCCTGCAGATGACACAACCCCCACCTCAACACACACACACACACTGCAAACAAAGACCCGGCAATCCTCCCAAGGTTTTTTTGTTTCTTCCTTGCTAATTGAGGGGAGCCGCCGTTGGGGTTGAACGGAGGGAGGGTTGGGGGTTGGTGGCTGTCCCGAGATCCGCACAGCAACCTGATCCGTCACTCCTTTGTCCCCCCCTCCCCATGTCCCCTCCCCTTTATACAGGCATGGCGGTAAGAGGGCCACTCTGGGCTGGTCAGCAGCGCCCTGTTTACACACACAACGTCACAATGGAGTCCTGTTTCCTGTCTTGAATGCTGCACAACCCCACTCTGGGGTTTTTTAGCCTTCTGTTCCCCCACCCCCCCTCCCCCTTCCCGGCATGTCTTTCCCGTGGGCCCAAACATGGCGGGAGGGGTGTGGGTGGGGGCGCCAGAAGCTGGCTATGGAACAAGCCTGCTGGGGGTTGGGGGCCCACAGCCGAGGGGGTTTTCACACACACACACCCCAATTTTCTCGGGCAAAAAGCCTTTGGGTGTTCAGGATGGGTTGAAAAGCTTTGGGCCTGCTGTTTTTTTTATCCCCTGGTCACAGGTACGCTGCCCCCCCCCCAACCCGGCTTTCTGGAGAGCTCGGGTTGCCGTCTACTGAAAACTGTGGGGATGGGGGACCCATGGCTTCTGTTCCCCCTGCCCCCTCCCCCCAATTTTTATTTCCCTTTCCAAAGCACAAGAGCAAAAGGAGAGAAAAAAAAAAAGACGGAGACTTCTCTTCGGTGGGGGGCCTCTCTCTCTCTGGGTTTCTTTTCGTTGTCACATTGCCCCCTCCCCTCCCTCTTGAGAATGTATTTTTGGTCCTGGGGAGGGGGCTTTGCAGCCCCTTCACCTTCTCTGACACACACACACACACACACACACCTGGTTTGTATATAACTGTACTGATACCTCGGTTTTTTGTGAGTGGTTATAATTTTTTTTTTTTTTTGGTTTCGTTTTAATTTCTCATCACAACATTGCCTTTTTTTAAAAAAAAGAAAGATGATCATGTCCTTTTGGGGAGGGGGGGTCATTCTCTTCCCCTCCCATCCTTCCCCTCTCTCTTTTTTCTTTCTTTCTTTCTCTTTCTCTCTCTCTCTCTCAAGGATGCTGCCGTTTGATGTAGTTTTACAGGTTCTAGATTAAAACTTTCCAGAAAGCACCTATCTAGCGTCGGATTCCTGTTTTTGGTTCCACATTTGCTCCAGTCCCCCCCCCACCTCACTCCCCCCACCCAGGACTCGGGACCAGCAAGGGGGTGGGGGGTGGGGAAAACACTCCTTTCCGCTCCAGCCCGGTCCAAAGTTGAGACAACCTGTTGCATCTCTGGGAGACTCTGGCCGGTTTCTTATTAAAGCCAAAGAAATAAAAAGCACATGCTCCGAGCTTGTTTTTCCAAAATGATGGGGAGGGGGAAGGTGTAGGGCGGGGGGCTCTTCCTTGGGAGAATGTCCCAAGCTGTGGATTGGCCAAAATGATGGTGGGGGGGGAGGGATGTCCCCTGGCCCCCCTTCCAGTCAAGCACCATCCCGAAGCTTGTACCAAAATATCTTTTATTGAAAATGCCGCGTGGACTCTAAAAAGACGCCGGCGCTGAGCTGCCGGCAGAAGGGAAGAGTGGGGGGGGGGGGCTGCTAGGGTCTCAGAAAGTTTGGGGGGGCACGTAAATGGTCCTCTTCTTCCTCTTAAGGCGACCCACAGCTGGCCTCCGATGCTCGTGCACTGCTTCCAGGAGGAGAGCGATGAGTAAGTACAGAGCAGATCCGACTTCAATCCTCTTTTTTTTTTCCGGTCGTCCTTGTAGAAATTCCAAGTCTTCGTACTTCGGAATGGGGGTTTCTGATTCTGGAGCAGTTTGGCCTCTTCCCCCCACCACAAAATTGGGCAGACAGCCCCCCTTTTTTTCTCTCCTCCCCCTCAATTCATCATCCTCCCCTTCTTTTCAAGCAGTGGAAAGTACTCAGTCCAGTCCTATTCCAAGCTACATCTTCTACTGTTTTCTCATTATCCCACCAAACCCCTTACCCCAATTCCAGCATTACCCCATCCAGGACTGCCAGCTCTCCGCGATGGAGGGGAGGGCAGGAGTGGAAAGACCCCCTCCCCTTTCTCCTGCCCACCCCACCTCCTCCCCTCCCCACTGCCTCCAACCCACTCCGGTGGGCTCGTACCATTCCCAGCTGAACCCCACCCACCGGAGCCGCAACGAGACTGGCGCAGAGGGGTCCCCCTTCAGAGGGACCCCAAGGAGGGTAGAGGGGGCGGCTCTCCTGTCCCGCTGAGCAGCGATGGAGGGTGCTGGGCTCCTCGCGGCGGAGCCTGGCGGGACCCCGCGGGCCGGATGAGCGGAGGCGGCAGCTGGTTGACCGAAAGTCTGGGCTGGAGGAAACGCCCTTGCTGTAAGGGCGGCGGCTGGCGGTGCAGCATGGGTGCGGTGGGCAGGGTGGGCCTCAGCAAGGGGGGAGGCTGGGAGAGCGCCACAGGGGGAGGGCGGGGAGAGGCAGGGAGGGGGGGAAGCGCAGGAGGCGGCTGGGCCAGCTGGGTTGGAGGCGGCTGCGCAGATCGCGATACGGCGGTGATCTGGACCTGCAGGGACCAAAGGAACGATGTCAGCGCCGTGGCGTGTACCCCAACGGCGCCCGGCACCCCGAAGCCTTCCCCTCACCTCGTCCTCTTCCTCGCTGCTGCTCTTCTGCTCCTGAGGGGACGAGCTGCCTTGGGCGGGGGCCGGGCTCAGGCCCTCCTGTTCGGCCTCCCACTCCTGCAGCACCTCCTCCAGGTTGAACCGCCGGCGGTAGCTGACGAAGAAGGTTTTCACCTGCGCCACCGTCTTATTGCTGATCACCTCGGCGATGGCTTGAAAGTCTTTGCCATATTTCCGGATGGCTGACGGGGGGGGGGGGGGGCGGGGGGGAAAGGAGAAAAGCCAAGGTTGAACAGGACAGCTGTTCATGCACCGACCAGCAGAGCGTGGCTTCCCCGTCTCTTGTGTTGAAGAGGACAGCGCCCTCCGTCAGAACTTGAGGACAAAGCCTCCCTGGTGCCCCCAGGGGGAAAGTGCTGCTTATTGATCCTACTGGGTGGGTGGGCTAGAGCCCCCCCCCAAATCTTCCTAGGGAAAACTCACCCTGCACTGCCAGCAGCTGCTCATCGGTTGTCCAGCGGGAATTGAACTTGATGTTAGTCTGCAAAATTACAGGTTTGAATTGAATCTCGGAGGGGGGGGCATGCACCAGAGCACTTTGGTATCCCAAAACCAGGAAGGCCTCTGCCCCCCCCCCCAATCCTCTGTCCAAATATTGCCCCCAACTCAGTTACACAAATACTACGGCATGAATAGAATTTCTATAGCTTCTAAATTTATTTCTGCATCCACGTTTGTTATTTTGATAAGTAACGGAAAGCGGTGAACGTGTCTAATACTCCCGCCTCCTCTTCTTCCTCGTACAATAACAACAACCCTGCGAGGTGGGTAGACGGAGTTAATGGCACAAAGCCTCCCAGTCTGCTTTCAAGCGTAAGGCGGGACTAGAAGTCATGGTCTACTGATGATTGGCCCAAAGTCTTCCAGTCGGCTGTCATGCCTAAGGCGGGACTAGAATTTACAGTCTCTTGGCGATTGGCCCAAAGTTCCCAGTCATCTTTTGTGCCTAAGGCAGGACTAGAACTCATTGCCTTCTCGTGATTGGCCCAGAGTTCCCAGTCTTTCATACCTAAGGCGGGACTAGAACTCAGTCTTCTGGTGATTGGCCCAGGGTTCCCAGTCTTTCATACCTAAGGCGGGACTAGAACTCACAGTCTCCTGGTGATTGGCCCAAAGTTCCCAGTCATCTTTTGTGCCTAAGGCAGGACTAGAACTCATTGCTTCCTGGTGATTGGCCTAAAGTTCCCAGTTGTCTTTCATGCCTAAGGCGGGACTAGAACTCATTGCCTCTTGGTGATTGGCCCAAAGTCTCCCGGTCGAATGTCACACCTAAGGCGGGACTAGAACTCACCCCACCTAGTTTCCAGCCTGGAGCCTTAACCAGGCTAAACCAAAATGGCTCCCTTACTCTTAAATAAATACAAGTAATATTCCGCCTGTTACACTACCTCCTATTTTGGGGAGCACAAAGTTGGACCCCTGGGGTTCCCGCATCGGCACACAGGTGAACACTCACCTCCGTTGGGCGCAGTTTATGTATCCCTTCGCCTAGTGCCTGCTTCATGCTGCTGTTGATCTGTTTGATGCTTTGCACCTAGCACGAAAAGGATTGGGGGGGTCTCAGAACGGGGTTTCCAAGTTTGGGGGCAGGAAGCACCCCACAAGCTTAAAGGATGGGAGGAGGAGACCCAAAAGGAGCTGGAGGTAAAAGTACCAACAACCTAGAACTAAGAAGAAATTTCCTGACGGAACAATTAACCAGTGGAACTCCTTGCCACCAGAAGTTGTGAATGTTCTCCAACACTGGGAGCTTTTTAAGAAGAGATTGAACAACCATTTGTCTGAAGTGGTGTAGGGTTTCCTGCCTAAACGGGGTTGGACTAGAAGACCTCCAAAGGTCCCTTCCAACTCTGTTATTCCATATCGTTCCGTTCCATTCCATTCCATTCTATATTCTATTCTCTACATATTCTATTATATTTTAGTCTACATTCTATTTTATTCTAGTCTACGATTCTATTCTGTATTCTATTCTCTACTTCTTATTCTATATTCTACCATATTCTTTTCTCTACTTGTTCTGTTTTGTTCTATTCCTATTCCTATTCCTATTCTATCCTATCCTATATCCTATCCTATCCCTATCCCTAATCTATTTTTCATATTCTATTCTATTCCATTCCATTCTTCTATTCCATTCCATTCCATTCTTCTATTCCATTCCATTCCATTCTTCTATTCTATTCTATTCCATTCCATTCCATTCCACTTTCTATTCTATTCTATTCTATTCTATTCTATTCTATTCTATTCTATTATTCTATTCCACTTCTATTCTATTCTATTCTATTCTATTCTATTCCATTCCATTCCATTCCATTCTTCTATTCTATTCCATTCCATTCCATTCCATTCTTCTATTCTATTCCATTCCATTCCATTCCATTCTTCTATTCCATTCTATTCTATTCTATTCCATTCCACTTTCTATTCTATTCTATTCTATTCTATTCCATTCCATTCCATTCCATTCCATTCTTCTATTCTATCCATTCCACTTTCTATTCTATTCTATTCTATTCTATTCTATTCTATTCTATTCTATTCTATTCCATTCCACTTTCTATTCTATTCTATTCTATTCTATTCTATTCTATTCTATTCTATTCTATTCTATTCTATTCTATTCTATTCTATTCTATCCCTATCCAATCCTATTCACTTCAAATGGGAGAAAGCCAACGTTTAAACTCAGCTTCTCTCCTGCGCCACTGTTCACTTTAGCAATCCTCGGCTGCCGAAGACACCATTGAAAATAAGGGCCCTGTTCAAATAAAATTAAAAAAAAAAAAAAGCTGCAAGATTTTTGGGATTGGATTTGATTGATTGGACTGGGTACCTGGCGTTTGAGGGAAACCAGCTGAGAGTCCAGATGGCGTAAGGTGAGCACGGCCATGTCAGGGCTGGTGGAGAGGCCCGTGATGCCTTCTTGGCTCAGGTACATGCCCTTCGGAGGGCGCCGGCGGGCACGGAGAGGGTGGTGCCGATATTGGGGTAGCTGCACTTCCTTCTTCATTGGCCCAGGTTTGCTGCTGGGGGGCTTCGGATAACTAGGCTGAGGGGGAGAGAGAGAGAGAGAAGAGCGAGAGATGAAACGGGGTGGAGACCCACCTCTGGGTCTTGATCCAGTACAGGTAGTCCTTGACTGACGAACAAAACTCCGTCGCTAAGCGAGAACCTTTGCGAAGTGAGTTTCGTTCCGTTTTACAACCATTCTCGCCACAGTCGTTGGGTTAAGTTAGCAACTCGGTTGTTAAGTGAATCCGGCTTTGCCCCCCCCCCCCGCCCTCCCCCCATTGACTTTTGCTGTTCGGGAGGTCACAAAAAGGGGGACATTGCAACGTCATAAATATGAGTCAGTTGCCAAGAGTCCTGGAATTTTGACCCCGGGAGACGCTTGCGGAGCTCGTGAAAAATGGCCATTTTCTTCCGGGCCATTGCAACTTCCAACCGTCGTTAAACGGAAAGTTGTAAGTTGAGGACCTACCTGTATTGGTACCCTTCTGGACCCCGGCTGCGTGTTCGAGCCTTCCCGGTCCCTTACCTCCTTCTTGGGATCCATGGCATCAAATTCCCCTTCGCTGGCCTGCCGTGCGTCTTCTAATTCATCGTTGCTGTGGGGAAAATGTGGCACTTGTGAGTGGAGTCTTCTCCAGCCACCCCAGAGCGTCTCATCCTAGATCCTGTTTCCATCTAATTGGGGGTTTATCCTAGTTTGTTTCGCACTTCTCAGACACAACTTCCCATAAAAACACCTCTTTGTGGTTGGCCTGTTTCTTCATCTGCATCCTTTCCCACTCACTCTCTTTCTCTCTCTCTTCCACACGCACACACACTTTTTCTCATTCTTTCTCTCACACATACTTTCTTTTTTTCTCCCCTCTTTCTTTCTCCCTCTAGCTCCCTCTTTCTCTCACACACACACTTTTTCTCTTTCTCTTTCTCACTCTCTCACTCTTTCTCACATACTTTATCTCTTTCTCTTTTTCTCCTCTTTCTTTCTCCCTCTTTCTCTCTCTCTCTCTCACACACACATACTTTTTCTCTTTCTCACTCACTCTTTCTCTCTCGCACACACTTTCTCTTTTTCTCCCCTTTCTTTCTCCCACTCACTCCCTTTCTCTCTTCCTCTTTCTCTTACACATGTACACTTTCTCTCTCTCTCTTTCTCTCTCTGACACACACTTTTTCTCTCTCACTCTCTCACTCTTTCTCTTTCTCCCTCATAAACACACTTTCTCTTTCTCTTTTTCTCCCCTCCCTTTCTTTCTTTCTCCCTCCCTCTCGCTTCCTCTTTCTCTCTTCCTCTTCCTCTCACACACATACACTTTCTCTCTCTTTCACTCTGTCCCCTCTCTCTCTCTGACACACTTTTTCTCTTTCTCACTCACTTTCTCTTTCTCACACACACACTTCTTTTTCTCCCCTTTCTCCCTCTCCCTCCCTTTCTCTCTTCCTCTTTCTCTCACACACCTACACTTTCAGTCTTTCTCTCTCTGACACACACTTTTTCTCTTTCTCACTCTTTCTCCCTCACACTTTTTCTTTTTCTCCCCTCTCTCCCGCGTGCTTCCTCTTTCTCTCTTCCCCTTTCTCTCACACACATACACTTTCTCTCTCTTTCACTCTTTCTCTCTCTGACATACACACTTTTTCTCACTCTTTCTCTCTCACACACATTCTCTTTTTCTCCCCTTTCTTTCTCCCTCTCGCTTCCCCTTTCTCGCTTCCTCTTTCTCTCACATATATACACTTTTTCTCTTTCACTTTCTCTCTCTGACACACACTTTTTCTCTTTCTCACTCACTCTCACTCTTTCTCCCTCACAAATACACTTTCCCTTTCCCTTTCTCCCCTCTTCCTTTCTCCCCCTCGCTCCCTCTTTCTCTCTCCCTCTTTCTCTCACACACATACACTTTCTCTCTCTTTCACTCTTTCTCTCTCTGTCTCTCTCCTCTGACACACACATACTTTTTCTCACTCTTTCTCTTTCTCTCTCACACACACTTTCTCTCTTCCGCTTTCTGTCAGCTTTGGAAGCCCCAGAAGCTTCCACGCTGCCAACTTCTTGCGCTTGGGAAAGTAGGAGGGGGTGATTTGATAGAGCGATTTTTGTTAGACATAATAGCATTCTTCTTTTCGGTCAAGGTCAGGGTGTCCCTGCATCTGGAGGAGGAGTGGTTGCAGTGGGGCCTTGTGAGGGACTGATGGGTGCAGGGGCTGGATTTGGGGTTTTGATTTATTGAGGGAAAACCTGGAACTCTCAGATTCGGGTTTTTCCCAGATGTGCCAGTATACCTATTCCAATAAATGAAGATTTTGAGATGAAGCTTTTCTCTCTTGCTTTCTCTTTTTCTCCCTTTTCTCCCTCTCCCTCCCTCTTCCTCTTTCTCTCACATACACTTTCTCTCTCTTTCACTTTCTTTATCTCTCTCTCACACACACACTCTTTCTCACTCTTTCTCTCACACACACATTTTCTCTCTTTCTCTCTCTTTCTCTTTTTCTCTCCTCTTTCTCCCTCTTGCTCCCTTTCTCTCACACACACATACACTTTCTCTCTCTCACACACACACACACATTTTTCTTTCTCATTTTCTCTTTCTCTCTCGCACACTTTCTTTCTCTTTTTCTCCCCTCTTTCTCCCTCTCACTCCCTCTTTCACATACACTTTCTCTCTCTCTCACACACACACACACACACACACTTTTTCTCACTCTCTCACTCTTTCTCTCTCGCACACTTTCTCTCTTTCACTCTTTCTCTTTCTCACACAAATACTGTTTCTCTTTCTCACTCTCACTCTTTCTTTCTTTCTCTCTCACACACATACTTTCTCTCTTTTTTTCTCCCCTTTCTCCCTCTCGCTCCCTCTTCCTCGTTCTGTCTCTGAAACACATACACTTTCTCTCTCTTTCTCTCTCTCTCACACACACTCACATACACTTTTTCTCACTCACTCTTTTCTCTGCTCTTGCTCCCTCTTTCTCTCTTCCTCTTTCTCTTTCTCTCACACACTCTCTCTCTCTCTCTCTCTCACACACACACAGAGCCCTGAAGAGCTGCATTTGGCCTGCATTTGATTCAGGAGACCTTTTTTGGGGGCAAGGGGATTTGACATAACTTTCTACAAAGCCCCCAAGCAAACTCCCCCCTGTGCCCTGTGGCAGACTAGATCCCTTTACTGGATCACCTGTCGTCTTTTTCCTTCCTGCTGAGCAGTTTTCGGGCTTGCCTATCCATCACGCTTGTCCGACTTCTGGTCTTCTTCCAAGAGTAGTAATATTTCACCAGGCTGGGGATTAACTTGTCAGGAAGCTACGTGAGATGGATGGAGAGAGAGAGAGAGAGAGAGAGAAATTGGTGCATCAGTTGGCAAGTGATGATCCAGTCAGCCTTATCTGGAGAGTGTCTATGGTCAAGAAATCCAGCTTCTAACTAAGCTTTTGTATAATAATCAACCCTCAGTAAAGGGCTCACTGGATCCACACTTTTGTCCCAAACTTGTGAGTTTGGCTTCTCACACAATGCAATTAAAATGACTTCAGTTGCCAAGCATCTGAGCTTTGATCACATGACCCCAGGGATGCTACAACGGTCGTTAAGTGTGACAGACGGTCCTAAATCCCTTTTTTTCAGTGCCGTTGTAACTTTGAACGGTCACTAAATGAACAGTTTGTAAGTCGAGGACTCCCTGCAATTGAAAACATCTCGTTCACGCGTTCATTTTTGCCACTGATTTTTTTCTTCTTTTTTTTTTTTATAGAATCAAGTTATGTCAATCAACTTCATTGGCTATCGTTATGTCAAGTTCCATCAATCAACTTCATTGGCTATCGTTATGTCAAGTTCCGTCAATCAACTTCATTGGCTACAGTTATGTCAAGTTATGTCAATCACTTCATTGGCTATCATTATGTCCAGTTATGTCAATCAACTTCATTGGCTATCGTTATGTCAAGTTATGTCAATCAACTTCATTGGCTATCATTATGTCAAGTTATGTCAATCAACTTTATTGGCTATCGTTATGTCAAGTTCCATCAATCAAGTTCATTGGCTACAGTTATGTCCAGTTCCGTCAACCAACTTCATTGGCTATAGTTGTTATGTCAATCAATTTATTGGCTATCTTTATGTCAAGTTACGTCAATCAACTTCATTGGCTACAGTTATGTCAAGTTATGTCAATCAATTTCATTGGCTACAGTTATATCAAGTTATATCAATCAATTTCATTGGCTATCATTATATCAATCAACTTCATTGGCTATCATTATGTCCAGTTACGTCAATCAACTTCATTGACTATAGTTGTTATGTCAATCAACTTATTGGCTATCGTTATGTCAAGTTACGTCAATCAACTTCAATGGCTTAAGTTATGACAAGTTATGTCAATTTCATTGGCTACAGTTATGTCAAGTTATGTTAATTAACTTAATTGACTATCATGTCAAGTTACATCAATCAACTTCATTGGCTACAGTTATGTCAATCAACTTCATTGGCTACAGTTATGTCAAGTTATGTCAATCAATTTCATTGGCTACAGTTATGTCAAGTTATATCAATCAACTTCATTGGCTATCATTATGTCCAGTTACGTCAATCAACTTCATTGGCTATAGTTGTTATGGTCAATCAACTTATTGGCTATCGTTATGTCAAGTTACGTCAATCAACCTCAATGGCTTAAGCTACGCCAAGTTATGTCAATCAATTTCATTGTCTACAGTTATGTCAAGTTATGTTAATTAACTTAATTGGCTATCATGTCAAGTTACATCAATCAACTTCATTGGCTACAGTTACGTCAAGTTATGTCAATCAACTTCATTATCTATCATGTCAATCAACTTCATTGGCTATAGTTATGTCAAATTATGTCAATCAGCTTCATTGGCTGGCGGATAAGAAAGAGAAGAGTAAGGTGGTTTAAACCCCATCCTACCACCGGGTGAGGCCGAATGGGGCATTTATTTACCATCTGCTGGATGCGAGCAAAACTTTTCCCGTGGAAGCTGAAGGCTTGCTCAAACAGGACTTTGTCCTCCACCGTCCATTCATCGGGGAACGGCGTGAAATTGGCTAAATCGGCCAGCGACTTCTCCACGTCGTGTTTATGCCACAATAGCATCCCCAAAGCCTGTTGAAAGAAAAAAAGAGATTTGAGACCGTGGATGTGGACGTGGGGAAAAAAAATCTGTTTCTCCCAAGCCTGAAGAGGTGAGAATCCCTTTAAAAATAAGTTTCTAGTCCCCTGTGGGAAAGCTGAACTTGAAAAGGAGAAAGATGGGCCCCGATCCAGGGAAGTTTGGCTGGGCTTTTAATGCTATTTTTCTTTGTTTACCTGTTCAATGTTGTAGCCATGCTTTTCCTTGGCCATGGCGATATATTTGTCCACTAGGGGGAGAAAGAGAGCAAAGTCAGACTCTGGAAGGGGGGGGCGGAGCAATAACCGGAATAAATGAGAGAGGTAATCCTTGATTTATGACGGTTCGTTTCGTGACCGTCCGAAGTTACAACGGCACGGGAAAAAAGTCATTTTTCTTCAGTGCTCTTGTAAAGGGACCCAGATTTTTGGCAATATGCTTGATTCCGTAAGCTGCTCAGCGAGGGCACTAAAATATTTTTAAAGCAGTATACGGTTAGTCCTCCACTTACGACAGTTCATTTAGTGACTGTTCAAAGTTACGACATCACTGGAAAAAAGGCGACTTGTGACCGTCTTTTGCAGTTAACAATCTTTGTCGCGCCCCCACGATCGTAGTGATCAAAATTCAGATACCTGGCAACGGGTTCGTACTTACGACCGTTGCTGGGTCCCCCAAGGTCATGTGATCTCCCTTTTGTGACCTTAAGCCAAGCCAGTGGGGAAGCCAGACTCGATTAACAACCTGGTTAACTAACTTATCAACTGCCGCGATTCGCTTAAGAATTGTGGCGAGAAAGGTTCACGAAATGGGGCAGAACTCAACAACATAAATGTCGTGGCTCCATGGTGGCCATAAGTCGAAGACTACCACCTATATATAAAAAGGCTTATTGCAATTGTCAGAAGGTCGCAAAAGGGAATCACGTAACCCCGGGACACTGCAACCGTCATAAATACGAGTCAGTGGCTGAGTGTCTGAATTTTGATCACCTGATGCAGCAACGGTCCTTACGTGTGAAAAACAGTCGCAAATGACGTTTTTCAGCGCCGTTGTAACTTCAAGCGGTCACTAAACGAACGGTTGTAAGTCGAGCGCTACCTGTATTTGACACCTCCCTCGTTTCCACCCAAAAAAAAAACTCACAGCAATGCTGCAAAATATTTCAGCTACAACTTCTTCTCCTCCTCCATCCTTCTGGGTGTCCAAGCCTCATCCTTTTAACGGGCGCTCCCCCGAAACACCCCTGGGGACCACCGAACCCCAACACTGACCCCCCCCGAAACCCCCAACCCCGCTTTTCAGCAAAGGCTGAACTGCCTTTCCTGCTGCCAACCCCCCCCCCCCCCCCAGCTTCCGGCCCCGCCAGATTTAAAAAAAAAAAAAAAAAAAAACCTGGGAGCACACGAACGGCATAATAATTGCTTCTAGAGGGAGGGAGAGGGAAGGGAGGACTGCCAATCAAAGGCTGTGGAATAGATGAAATCCCACCCACCCCCCCTATCCCCCTACCCCACCCCCACCCCCTAGAAAACCTAGGGCAAGGTTGCTTCTGGAAGTGGGGTGGGCTCCAAGCAGGACGAAAGAGAGAGAGAGAGAGAGGGAAAAAAAACCCCAACAACTATTAATTCACGCGAAGATCAAAATAGCTTGGAGGAATAAGTGGGTGGGGGGGACGGACTGGAGGGGGTGGGGGTCACAATAAGGCAAAAGCCATTGATCTGAGGCTGCCTTTCCGGCTTTTTTCCACTCACATTTGGCATCCGAGACACAGTGATTAGGTGACCAAACCAACATCCCTTTTAACTCTTTATTGCTGAACCGAGCAGGACTCTCTGGGTAGACAAAAGAGGAGAAGAGGCCATTAAGGACACACATACACACACGCAGAGAGGCCAAATCCCTCTTCCCCCAAAGGAGGGGAGGGGGGA